TATCTGAAGGGGGAGTGTCAAGAGGATGAGGCCAGCCTCTTCTCCGTGGTGCCCAGCAACAGGACAAGAGGCAATGGGCACAAACTGAACCACAGGAAGTTCCATCTGAACCTGAGAAAAAACTTCCCTGTGAGGGTGACAGAGCATTGGAACAGGTTGCCCAGAGAGGTGGTGGAGTCTCCTTCGCTGGAGATATTCAAAACCCATCTGGATGTGATCCTGGGCAATATGCTCTAGGTGACCCTGCTTGAGCAGGGGGGTTGGACTAGATGATCTCCAGAGGTCCCTTCCAACCTAAACGATTCTGTGATTCTGTGATTCCTTCTTGCACCATCTCAGCCAAGTAAACCCTTTGATAACATAGACAGAGTGAAGCTGGACACCGCTACTGGAGCATTAGTTTACTAAAATGAATTTTCTTATTGAAAATGTCAATCTAAGCCTTTGACCTGTGCAAGAAGAGGCAGACTGGCATAATGGAATTAAAGTAAAGGACATATAAAGTAACTGTGCTACTACTGTCATTCTCAGAAGAGATCACTAATAGGCTGTCAGAAGGCTTGCAATTCCCCCAAAATTTCATGTATTTATGCAAAAAATTTGATGATGCAAAACAGCATAATTTTTGCATTTGTTATCTTTACTGGGTAGAAAGGCAGAGAGAGTGATTAGAAAAATGGAGTCAGAAAATTATTTAAATTCTTTCAGCAGCTGAGCTAATAAAGAGCAATACAGTCTAAAACAGATTAATGAATAATAAGTCAGGAAAAAAAAATCCAAAAAATAACATATACCAATGAGAAAACATAAGAGCTTACAAACTGCAGAGAGTTTGGGAATGTGCTGTTGGGAAAAAATCTACAAACCTTGTGATAATTAACAGCAGCAATACAATGAACAAGGATCTGGATTGCATGCGATAACATGTAGAATATAAAATTCAGCATTACAATCTGCAAATGATATGCAGACAGGAATTAATCTGAAGAAGTCAGGCTGCAGGAGACAGCTAGCAGCTGGATTGTGAATTTGGAGAGAATATCCAGTGAGTTTTTTCTGGAGATAATGTTTCTTCATGTATTTGTAATCGAGGTGGAATTTAGGAAGACTAGATATTGCTGCGCTCTTGTGGACCTGACATGCGGTCTTACCAAACTTGCTCACTGTTTTGGCATAGTTACAGAGCTGTAATTAGTATTGTGGCAGAGAGAAATGCTTCCCTTTCCCTCTGCTAAGCAGAAATCATGGCCTCAGGAGCGCTGGATGAAGACTCCTTTGTACCAACCTTAAAAAGCCAGGTTATACTATCACACAGGAAAATAAAACAGAAACTAAAATGACTAAAAAGGGCTTTTGCTTCACTTCATCTCATTGCAATTAAAAAAAATCGCCTGCTGCAGGTAACCTTTAAACCGATAAAGCTTTCTGATAATTTTTGATTTAGATAGCTTGATTATCGATAATTTTGAAAGGCCTAGATGCAGTGGTAAATAATATGTCCTGTAGGGAGTTAAGATAAAAAAAATGACCAGCCCCAAAGTGTAACCCCTGTTTACTTGAATTGTGTGTGTACAAGTTTCACTGCTATGTATTTGGAGTCATCCCCTTTTATCACATACCCCACTGAACTGATCGGTGACTACTTACTGCTAATTGTGGCCTTATTATAATAGCAATAAACAAAACAGGAAAACAGGTCTTTCTCTGTTGTTGAACTATGAAGCAGGCAGGTTATCAGCCTTCTAAAATAGAATGCTTTCCCTTAAAATGTACCCTTCGTGTTAATAACTGAGAGGCGAAACGGTCCAGAGTTTGCATTCAAAACGGCTTAATACTTAGACTCTTAAGTTTGGAATTACTTATAGTCTGATAAGAAAAACTTGGAAATGCCAGCAGAATGCTTATTTTGAAGCCTAGTTCTGAAGTGATGTGATGCACTTGAGAAAGGCAAACACTCCAGGACTCATATCAAAGATCTCCATTCTCAGTTTTATTTAATTGGCATTCTTTCGGCTGACTTCATCAAAACAATCAGACACCTACTTTTACAATTCAGATTAGGTGTGCCCATGTACTCTGTGGCAGATGACAGTTCATGTTTGTGTTAGATTCATTAGATTCATTTTCTAGGATATAACTTTATAATGATAGCTTTACACATCTGGGTCCTGATTTGCAAATGGAAGACATACTAGGGATATGGGGTAAAGGGTGTAAATGAAAAAAAAAAAAAAGAGTATTTCTTAACTGAGAATGAAAAAGAGTGGACAATTTCTGGGTAACTTACTTCTGGTATTTAATTTTTTCTCAGTTAAAAGGAAATCTAAATTAGTGATTTGAGAGCTGTTACTACAAATCGCCAAGTGATGGGAATGTAAATTTCATTTCATTTGTCAGGGGAAAGAAATGCCCATTAGTGAATGTAAACCACACTGATACTTGAGCAGTTCAACAACTTGACCTTGAAGCTGTGATACTTTTTAGCAGTCCAACTGATGTTAACAGAAACTTGAATCTGAATGTACACATCCCCCCACTAAAAACTGCAGACTGCGATTCCTGACTGCTACTGATAATCATGTGAAGTTCCCGTGTTAAAATGTGCATTGAGACTAAGAACGCTTATTTCATTTTGAGAAATCTTTCGGTCCCAAATCCTCACTCAGTGGTGTGGTGGAAGCCAGGCGAAAACAGATTATTTAAAATATTCTTTTGATTTGAACCAAAAATTTTTCTTAAAACACATCTTTCTTTTAGGAAATAAATATATTTGAAACAAAAAAATGAAAGGATGACTATTTATATCAAATCATCTATTTAAAGTGACCTAATCAAAAATTGCGTTATATAAAAATGCAAGCAGCATATGTTTGCTGAAATCTTACAAAAGTCAAACTACTAATCATGGTTAAACACTGGCTAAGTCTCTAGAAAACAATCTGTTAAAGTGACAAACTTAGTTTCATTTTGGACATCTGTAGCTTTTTCTGTAAGTGTAGAGAGAATATATTCCTCACTTCAGTTTACTCAGGTTAGTTTAGTTCAGTGTTCCAAAGCTTTTTCCTTAGACATCCAGCACACCATTTTTTACTATTTAAATAACTAAAATGATTACTAATTAAATAATTAAAAAATAATGTTTTGTGCATTCCTTATTGGTTTCAAATTAACATTCAGCTAATGCTTGATGGAAATCCTAAGTAAAAAGTTTTCTGTTCAATAACTCGTTCTCATTTTTCTAACACAATAATAAAAATATTAAGTATATGTTAGAGTATCTAACTATTCAAAGGCATATATGGCCTAGTCTCCTCTTTAAAACAAAGCCCACTGACTAATGCGGAGACTCCTTTTAGTTGCAAGTTCCATACATCTTCCCGCTTATCAAACAGTGATGGTTTGCCTTTCTCTAGCACGGAAACTTTACATGTACTTTGAATCATATTTTATGATTTTCCAAGTCATGCATGACCCTGTAGTAAAAAAATATGGTGTATTACAAAATCACTGAGTGATTGGTTGTCTCACTTGTCCTATGACCCTTCTCATCCTACTTGAGAAGTTTAGTAAATTCACTATGTACTGAGAGTGTCAGCCAGAGCCATGGACAGGATGGGCTCATGTTGCACATTACACAGTGCCCTGGGGGTTCGTGTCACGTCTCTTTGCTCTGCCTGAGTGTTTTTTGCCGTGAGCTCTTTGGGGGACCAGCCCTTTGGGTTTTGGGGCCAGCTGTTTAATGGGAAATCAGCTGGTACAAAAAGTTCCAGAAAGTTTGCTCCTAATTCTTTGTAGCATAATTTCTCTTTCCTTTTCCTTTTTTAAGTTTGTTTCCACTTAATGAAATCAGACGCGGATGTGAAAGACTGTCAGAGGATGGAATATGTTTGTTGACATACAGAGAAAAATCTTCATGATGAAGGATGTAAGAAGCTTCATTTGTTGTAAAATATGACTAGAGGTGTCCCAGGAAATGGATTTAGGAGAAAGACAAAGCTGAGTGGTATTTCAGAGGTGACTGACTTCAGGTAATGTGAAA